GGTAGAGTGCTGTGGCATCACAGCTCACAGCAACCTCCAACTCCTGGGCTCAAGCAATTCTCCTGCCTCCGCCTCCCAAGCAGCTGGGACTACAGGCACCCGCCACAATGCCTGGCTATTTTTTGGTTGCAGCTGTCATTGTTGCTTGACGGGCCTAGGCTGTACTCAAACCCGCTAGTTCAGGTGTATGTGGCTGGTGCCCCAGCCACTTGAGCGACAGGCACAGAGCCAATAAAGATATTTTTTAAGCCAGGCATGGTAGCTAACGCCTATAATCCTAGCACTCTGGGAGGCCAAAGCAGATGGATCACCTGAGCTCTGGAATTTGAGGTCAGCCTGAGCAAAAGGAGACCCCCATCTCTACTAAAAATAAAAAAAAAAAAAATTGCTGGGCATTGTGGCAAGTGCCTGTAAGTCCCAGCTACTTGGGAGGCTGAGGCAAGAGGACTGCTTCAGCATAAGAGCTGGAGGTTGCTGTGAACCATGATGCCATAGCACTCTACCCAGGACAACTGAGTAAGACTCTATCTAGAAAAAAATAAATTAAAAAAAGATACTCTTTTTTAAAATGAAAGGAACGCTGAAGATGTTACAAAAACTTTCTAAACTCTATTTAAAGCAGATGATGGCAATAAAATAAAAATAGATTTTACTATCCTGGTTGCTTCTCTTGGTATTCTCCTCTGTTCCCACACATCCAACTGGGTTTTCAGTCCTCTCTAAGCAGCCTGTATAATAGTAACATTCACTTGTCCAGTTTCTAAGTCCTGAATTAGATCTATACATCACTCATTGCTAATGACCACAGCAATTTTCTTTGAAGTCTGTGCCAAAAAAGTCTAAGTAACTGGCTTAAGATTAAAATCTCTGCCAGGAAAGAAAAAGATAACTTTTTCAGTGGTATCCTCTCATATACATCCATATGTAATGTCCAGATTTCATTGTACTATATATAACATAGAATGAATAAAGCCAGTAAATGAACTTTTAATATATGTGATATCTAAATAAGAATTACAACTACTACACCTTCAGTTTCTCTTCAAAGGACTTACCTCAAGATTGAGAGATGCAGGAGAAATTGTTGCAATTATAGATGTTCTTGTGCGCCCCCCAAGAGAATCCTGGAGGATTCTAGTTAGTTTAGATTCTCGGTAAGGAACATGGGGTGTTCTTTCTACAAGTGCGGTAATAACCCTTCCCAAAGTCAATAGGGATTGATTGATATTTCCAGCTTCTCGAGCTCTCTTATCAACAGCTCCAGAACGGCCAATGTTTTCACTTCCTGCAAGATCAACCTTTAAAAATAAAAATAAAAAATCAGCCTATCTTTGCCTTCAAAGACTTTCATTGTCATAGATATAACGTATTAAATAGTCAACCAAACATTTTTTCTATCATTATTCTCCCACCACAGTGACTACAAAAATATTGTTTAGAACAGTGGTTCTCAATCTTTCTAATGCCATGACCCTTTAATACAGTTCCTCATGTTGTGGTGACCCCCAACCATAAAATTATTTTCATTTATGGTTGGGAGTCACCACAACATGAGGAACTGTATTAAAGGGTCATGGTGTTAGGAAGGTTGAGAATCACTGGTTCAGAAGAACAAAATTTCAAGCTGTTCTATCCGGTGGTCAAGAACGAAACAGTAGGCTCGGGACCTGTGGCTCAAGCATCTAAGGCGCCAGCCACATACACCTGAGCTGGTGGGTTCGAATCCAGCCCAGGCCTGCCAAACAACGATGGCTGCAACCAAACAATAGCCAGGCATTGTGGCAGGTGCCTATAGTCACAGCTACTTGGGAGGCAGAGGTAGGAGAACTGCTTGAGCCCAAGAGTTAGAGATTGCTATAAGCTGATGAAACTGTGTACCCAGGGGGACAGCTTGAGGATCTGTCTCAAAAAAAAAAAAAAAAGAAACAGTAATATTAAGGTAGATGCTTACCAAGTTCAACTTTCCAATTTTAACAAGCTCTTCTCCATCAATTGTAGTTTCTTTCATGTGTATTGTAACAGAGAAAACCGAGTGAGATCGACTAGAAAACAAAATCAAATTCCTCAATCATTATAATGTAAAATACTATTTGTTTTCTTAAAGTATTGCAAACAGGAAAGGAAGATCTAAGTCCAAAAGGGTGTAGAAAGATAATATCAGACAGGCAATTTCAGTAAGACTTTGTTGTGTTTTTTTTTGTTTTGCTTTTTTCTTGTTGTTGTTGTTGAGACAGAGACCCGCCCTATGTCCTGAGCAGAGTGCAAAGGCATCATAGCTCACTGCAATCTCAGACTCAGGCTGTGGGCATCCCGCTGCCTCAGCCTCCAGAAGCCACTGGGATTACAGGTGCTCACCAAGACGCCCAGCTAGGTTTTTCATTTTTTTATGAGTTGGGGTCTCACTCCTGCTCAGGTAAGTCTTGAATTCCTGAGCTTGAGCAATTCTCCCTCCTTAGCCTCCCATAGTGCTGGGATTACAGGCATGAGCCACCGCGCCCAGCTTTAGTAAGACTTTGGAAGACTCCTAGAAGGTGGATAGAACAATAATTAGGTTTTTAGGTCTCATACCTAATGTCTACAGGGAGATCCCAGTAAGTAGCTACCTAAAACTGCCTCAAAGACTTAGAATCGGCTTGGCGCCTGTGGCTCAAGCGGCTAAGGCGCCAGCCACGTACACCCAAGGTGGCAGGTTCAAATCCAGCCCAGGCCCACCAAACAACAATGATGGCTGCAACCAAAAAATAGCCGGGCGTTGTGGCGGGTGCCTGTGGTCCCAGCTACTTGGGAGGCTGAAGTAGGAGACTCGCTTGAGCCCAGGAGTTAGAGGTTGCTGTGCGCTGTGATGCCATGGCACTCTATCCAGGGGGACAGCTTGAGGCTCCTTTCTCCAAAAAAAAAAAAAAAAAAAAAAGACTTAGAATCTAGAATTCTCAGGCACCTCTAAAAAGATGGATGTGGAATGGGATTGAGACAGTTGCCTGGTGTATCCAGAGAAAAACACTTGCAACCAACCTTCTTACTTATGAGAATCATTTAAAATAAGTCATTACCTGCTAAACAACAATAACAACTACAACTAAAATAAGTCATTACCATAAATTCATATAGCACCAGGCCATCAGATTATGCCCACTTTTCCTACTTCATGACAACCACTGTGTACATGTACAAGCACATTTCTCTGCTTTGTAAATACCATCAGAAATAAGTAACTTTTTCTCCTCAAAGAGCAGAAAAAGTAAACAGCATGACTACTGAAACACCATAAGACAATCAATGCTAGACTATAAAGTGTTTAAATGTCTACCTTATGGGGTGGTGCCTGTGGTTCAATGGGTAGGGCACTGGCCCCATTAACTGCATTAACTGAGGGTGGCAGGTTCAAACCCAGCCCCAACCAAATTGCATCAAAAAATAGCCGGGCATTATGGCAGGCACCTATAGTCCCAGCTACTCAGGAGGCTGAGACAAGAGAATTGCCTAAGCCCAGGAGTTGGAGGTTGCTGTGAGCTGTGTGACACCATAGCACTCTACTGAGGGCGATAAAGTGAGACTCTGTCTCTACAAAAAAAAAAGTCTACCTTATGCTAAATACTGATACTCAGCTTTTATCTGACCTTTCCTTTCTAGCATTTGGTGAAAATCATTATATATATTTGTTAATGTCACTGACAGCCAGTGAAGAATATAGTAATTTCTAATTTTCTCCTTTGTACTTTTATATTACATAAAAAATACTTTTTTTCAGCTGGGCCTGTAATCCCAGCACTCTAGGAGGATGAAGCAGATGGATTGCTTGAGTTAAGGAGTTTAAGACCAGACTGAGCAACAGTGAAACCTTGTTGCTAAAAATAGCCAGGTAGTATGGTGGGCACCTGTAGTCCAGCTACTTGGGAGGCTGAGATAAGAGATTTGCTTAAACCTAAGAGTCTGAGGTTGCTGTGAGCTACGACACCACAGCATTCTACAAAGGGTGCCCAAGTAAGACTTTCTTTTCTGTCTCAAAAAGAAAAGAAAAATCTGACGCCAGGCACAGTGGCTCACGCCTGTAATCCTAGCATTTGGAAGGCTGAGGCAGATGGACTGCCTGAGCTCACAGGTTCAAGACCAGTCTGAGCCAGAGCGAGAACCTATCTCGAAAAGATAGCTGGGCATTGTGGTGGGCGCCTATAGCCCCAGCTACTTGGGAAGCTAAGGCAAAAGAATTGCTTGAGCCAAAGAGTTTGAAGTTGCTGTGAACTATGACACCATGGCACTCTACCAAGGGCAACAAAGTGAGACTCTTAGCTCAAAAAAAAAAAAAAAAAAATCTAGTTCTAACAATCATTTTATAGCTTAGAGAAACTGATGTTCAGATAAATTCACCTGAAGGTAGCCCTTGAGAGGCACTTTTGTGGAGCTCCTACTAATGTTAGCCATAGTTTAAAAACTATGAAAGCTTAGAAGAAAGTCAAATATGCATTTTAAAATGGCTTTATTTTAATGTAGGGAGACAAGTGGTCACTGACACTGACTTTCCTAGAATGAAAGGAACACATTTTTTTCCTCTAGATATTTTTTACTGAAAGATAAAATTCCTATTCCGATAAATTTATATGATTTAAGAACTTCTTTTTTCTATATGTAGACTTGAGTCAAGTTCCAAGTTCTATAAAACTAAGATAGAGGTTTTTAAACTATGGCTAACATCAGTAGGAGCTCCACCAAAGTGCCTCTTAAAGGCTACCTTCATAAAGCTAAGCAGGTAAGTAAGCCTCTGAGTAGCCCCTTCCAAAATCTATAACAGCTACATTATATTCTGGGGCTCAAGATATAATTTCATTTGCAAGAAACAATTGTTCTGCTTTAAAAAAAAGTTTAATATTTCTGCTCTAGTTCAGCTTTTCTTGTTCTCCTTTTAACATTCTTCCATTTTTGGTGACCTCCCTATAAATCTCAAGCCAATTATGAAGGCCCCCTCCTCATAACACAAAATCTAGGTATGTGATGAGCCACACACCCTGATCCACCCCAATTTGACTTCCCCCAAGCTCCTAATTCTTCCTAGAAAATGGGGCTAGAAAGAAGACTGTGGTTTTCTTACCTAGAATATGCATTCATCAAAGTGGCTGCAGTTTTCCTTTTTGCTGCCCCCTTCTCCAAAATTTGATAGACTTCATCTTTGTTGTGTACTGTAATTTCTTCTAAACCTTTGATTATCACTCCCCTCTGATCAAAATATCAAAAGAACACCCATTAGACTGGTAAAAGAATATGTATGTAGCATTTTCTCAAAGTCTCACATATTAAAATTTATATACATTTCATTCTCAAAGACTGAGTTACCTTATTTCGGGGATCATCAAACATCTGCAACCTCTCAGAAACATCAGAAGATGGATTAAGAAGATCAAAAAGTTCTTCATTATAGATTTCCAATAGAGACACTTTGACTGAAAATTCAGTACCATTATCACTAAGTTTCTCAAATATTTGATGAAGGGTACGTGGAATTATACCAGCCAAGGGATCCTGAAATTATATTAATAAGGATTAATACAAAGGGAGAGTGCCATTTATCTTGGCACTTACAACACAAGAGCCTCCTTCATAATATATGTATAAGTATGCCAAAACAAGTTAACAAAACAAAAAACCCACAAATCTATTGTTAGATTTACAACCATCAGTTCAAAATATTCTTCATATCTTCTATAAACCTGGGATATCTGCTAATCATCTTCATGCCTGAGCATAGAAGCCAACTGAACCAAGCTTCTTAAAAAGCCAACCTCAATAATTCTGCCCAACCAAACTATGCTTTAAGCCTAATACCTACCTCCTATAGTTAACAATTCAATAGCTTTATTATTATCCATATGTAAAGGAAGTTAATGGCTCAATTATGTAACCACTAGAAAAAAGGATCTATCTAAATATCTAAAAATAATTCGGAAAATTAGCTTAGTTATTAAATTCATTTAAATTTTTTTTTTTAGAGACAGAGTCTCACTTTATTGCCCTTGGTAGAGTGTCGTAGCGTCACAGCTCACAACAATGTCCGACTCCTGGACTTAGGCGATTCTCTTGCCTCAGCCTCCTGAGTAGCTAGGACTACAGGCGCCACCACAACGCCTGGTTATTTTTTTTGTTGCAGTTCGACGGGGCCAGCGCCCTACTCACTGAACCACAGGCGCTGCCCTTAAATTCATTTAAATTTAAACTCATTTGATGATCATTTTTGTGCCATGTCCTACATGCTTTCTATATCAAAAGATACAGTAATCCTAACTTTAAGACACTCAAGGTCATCATTAATAAAGTTCCATACTGCCCAGTACCATGGTAACTTTTTGTGATTCATTCTCTCACTATGAAGATCCCTTCAAGCTCTAATCATACTCTAACTTTTTCACAATTTTCTGCTCCAATTATTCTGTCTCAAACAGATCCCTATTTCATCACTTAATTGTGGCATATATACTAGTCCTCCCTCTCCCACTATGATTATGTTTTTTGAACAAGTATCGTGTCACATCATACATTTTATTTATTTATTTATTTTGAGACAGAGTATCAAGTTGTCGCCCTGGGTAGAGTACCCTGGCTCACAGCAACCTCCAATTCTTGGGCTCAAGTGATCCTCTTGCCCTAGTTTTTCTATTTTAGTAGAGACAGGGTCTTCCTTTTGCTCAGGCTGGTCTCGTGAGCTAAAGCAATCACCGCCTCGGCCTCTCAGAGTGCTGGGATTACAGGCGTGAGCCACTGTGCCTGACCATACAATTTAATCTTACCATAGCAATAGTTTATCTTAAAGTTATGTTTGGCTCGGCGCCTATAGCTCAACCAGCTAAGGTGCCAGCCACGTACACCTAAGGTGGCGGGTTCGAATCCCCAGCCCGGACCCGCCAAACAACAATGA